TGTACTCCATGGCAAAGGTATTTTGTTTGTTTGTGTGTATGTGTTTTCATTTTTTGTGGATATTTTTCTAGAGAGACATTAATGGCAAACCAAAAACAAAACATGATAAACTTGATGACTTCAACATTTCTACATTACTTCCCTTATTTATATAGCAATATACCATTTTCACCTGCATATGGAGTTTATGTCACCCAGTTGATCCGATACGGTAGAGCATGTTCTACAAGGAGGCAAAAAAGGAGGCAAGCTATTGACAAAGGAGTTGATGATACAAGAATATCATTAGTCTCTAAATTCAAAAAAATCTATAGTCGATACAAAGACATTGTTAGCAAATTCAATCTATTTTTAAGTCGAATGTTGTTTGACGTTTTTGTCCATTTCTTCCTGAATTGTCTACGGATTTTTCAGTTTGTCCGATCATGACAAGGAAATCACACAGCGGGTCGACAGGGGATGTTAACACCTTCATGTCATCTGGTCCCACCTCTGATGTTTTCGAGATCCATGTTTGCTCTGCTCCCAATTTGTATTGTTTCAGTGGACTTTTGAGCTTCATTACTGTTCGTTATCTTGATTTTTCATAGAGTTTAGTTGTTAGTTAGCATGAAATTGATGTGGCTGACTCTGCAGTGTCTCTCATTCGTTTACTGGGATATATCGAGTCGAGATATGATTTCTAATTTAATGTCGTCGATATATCTGAGTGTCGAATTGAAAGGCAAAGAAAGATTTTTTTATAGAAGTTTTCGAATAAATTCTGCCTCTTAAGAATATAAAATCAGGTCGGCTAATAAAAGAGTTCTATTATCAGCATCTTCTCCAGCCAAGGGTGACGATACCCTCCTCTTCTCTTTGTGAAAAGTTCATAATACATGTATTCAATTTTATTAAAGAGTTTACCAGTATTGTATTTTGGATGTTTGATGCTTACATTGAAGGAAAATCATTGATGCTCAGTAAATGGTGGATAATTACTAAGACGCTACACGTTAGTACTATTTATTCAATGTTTTCCCTTTACCAAAAAAAAACTTTCAAACGCTCCTACATTTTTTTCATTTAGTATGGGGTTTCAATATGTGATCTCTTAGTTTGTTGCACTTGTTTGGAGATTTCACAAAAACTCAGAAATTTTTCATTTTCTTACTTTCTCTGTTTTTGTCCAAAATAATTTCATCATCCACAATGAAATGTAATGTAATGAAATGCATGCATGAGAATTGGGTGGTTTTGTTTTTTGTTCCATTGTCAACTTTCGCTATTTATGTAGTAGTATTCCACTATCACCTGTATATGTTGTTTATGTCTCTCAACTTATTTGGTATGCAAGCAAGTTCTAAATACGATTAATGTTAAACCGAGGCAGGCTACTGACAAATAAGCTGATGTTGCAGGGTTTCCAATTATCTCGATTAGAATTAACATTTCGCTAATTCCATGGTCGTTGTAATGACCTTATTTGCACATACAACCTATTGTTTGGTTGTATTATGACTGACATGTTCCACACCAATTGTTAGGTCAATGTTTTTATACCAATTTGACTACGGAGTATTCCGTTTTCCTGATCAGTACAGAGGGATCCCGGCGGGTGTGACCGGTCGACAGGGGATGCCTGCTCCTCCTAGGCACCTGATCATACCTCTGTTGTTTTCAGAGATCCTTGTTCTTGTCCTGTTCACGATTTGTACTTTTATTTGATTTATATGAGCTTGATCACTGTTCGCTATCTCCATCTTTTACATCTAAAATCAAAACTTAAAAAAGACAATCACGTTTGAATAGATAATGAAAATAATTCAAATATAAGGATACATAGAAACTAAACTTTCCAATTGTCGACAAAAATGTTACTACCTGAAGCAAAGAAAACCAATGGCTTTTTTTTATTTACAATGTTTTGATTAATATTTATACATATGTATGTAAATTACCTTTGCTGATTGAAGACATTGTTGTCTCAATTGATATAATACTTTTGACATTTTGGATGCAGATCATTCTTTCTCTCGGCAGTGTCTTCTCGGTCATCTACATCTTAACGCAGACTGTGCTACATTTACTAGTCTCTTAAAATATATCATTGAATCTAAATGACTGCCCTGTCGACATACTGAAAAATCTCAACAGTGCGTCATGTCTAATTGATACGAGTCGGCCTGATCAAGAATTAACTGCTTTGATACAGGTCAAGGCTATCAATATAACTGCTTTAGGGCAGTTTGGGCACAGTTGCAGTCCAGAATATATTGTTAGTTAATTATCTCCCACAAATTGCTGTAGATTACTATAACCATTTTGCATCCAACTTTCAATTCTGTCTTTGGGTCAGTTTCAATATTCAAACTAAAGCATTGTATCTTAAAACTTAAATAGAAAGAAAGAGATCAATATATATCAAAGATTTGTAGCAATATTTGGAAAACTTCCGTTAATAAATCTGCAGATAAGACAAATTGTAATTTATCGGATGAAATCTAGAATGCATTCCATTGTTCGCCATCGGCATGCCACGTACCCTCAAAATTTTGTAGAAATCATGTGATACACGGTCTGGAACCATGACCATCTGTCGTGTAGGGTGGGAGTCGAAAGACTCAAGGAAATCAGAAATAACAAATAAGCTTGATATTTTCCTTAAATGGTTCATGAAACGTTTGTCACAAAACTATCTTTTCCTTTTGTGTTTTGCACTTTTGCATTTTTTCTCCTCCAAAAATGCTTCGTTAATTCCGTGAAATATGAGTCATGTGAGCGTATCTGGTATTAATCTACTAGATATGTGACAGCTGTAATTTTTCTTACATAACAATAATATTTTTATTTCTTGGATGAGAATGTAACACATGGTTCAAAAAGAAAAAAAAAACAGTGATTTGTTCTTATCTTTTGTTTGTTTTAAACATTATAGTATTTTTTTTTAAATTAGCAAGGTTACCAAATGATCAAATTTCATCGTTTTAGCTATATTTTTGGATTAAACATTACAAGTAAAATTATTTTCATCACGAACGGCACAAGTTGTATTTAATAACAGGATGTTCAAAACCTTGCCATGGTTATTATGTGGCAGGGTTAAATATTAATTTCTTCATGTTAGATAAGTTGACTTCTTCGGATAAATCAAAGAACAAGAAAGGATAAATCATTCTGGTAACAGTCAAATGCTCCTCTCTCAGTACCCGTCGTATGTCTTGTGACTTTTATGAAGTTTAAATTTGGGATTCATTTGCAGAGGACTTATTTATAGAGTCAGTCTTGTGTATCAAGCGACTTATACAAGACATTTTTTACTAACCTGGGTAATTTTTTTGTAAAACAGCAATTTCTAAATATCTAAGATGAAATGTATTGAGATAACGAACAGTATTCAAGCTCAAAAGTCCATTAAACAATATAAATTTTGGAGCAGAACAAAGACGGACCTCTAAAACATCAAAGGTGGGATCAGGTGCCATGAAGGAGTGAGCATCCCCTGCCGATCGGTCACACCCGCCGTGTGCACCTTGTAATGATCGGGTAATAACGGAAAAATCCGTTGACAATTCAGTGTGTAAATTATGGCCTAACAATTAGTATGAAAAAGTCAGTCAGCATTTGACTTAATGATTAATTGTATTTGCTGACAAGTTAATATACAAAAGTCTTGTTCTGAAGAAAGCAGAAAAAATTGTGAAAATATATAGAGTGCATGAATTATGGAGATAACTATTATTTAAATCTATTTCACAATAGAGGCTATAAAATTTAATGCATTTGCTTTAAACTATGGGAAACATACACTATTATACATTTAGTGAACATACACATTTATAATTGCACAGTACCCACTTCCTCTAACAGTCATCAGTCACATGATCGATCTAAGTCTACTATATTAAAATGAGAGCCGCTACTCTTCTGTTTAACTTCCGTATGGAAAATATTCTATTGTGCTTTATTTTGACTCGGTGTACCACACACAGATGTTTAATGTATTCTAGTTAAATATTTTGAAATCAATTTTATTATCTTGTTAATTAATCGAAAGCTCTAGTTTGTATTTCATTCAAAAAAATATGTGCAACATATGTTATGTATTTCTAAATTTATAAATGGAATATTTTTACTGGGAAAAAAAATTGGTGTACTAAACGGAAGTCTGCTCATATTGGCCCTACAAACAAATTATTCCTATGTTTAGAAATTTAATTAAAAGATAAGACGGCAGATTTTCATGAGAGTAGAATTTGCATTTTTTGTTGTGTTTTACCCATGTTGAACATTAGCTTCCTGATATATCATTACATTTTGTTTTTCCATCAGCTATTCATTTTAAAGCATAATAGAAATTACACATGTAAAATCTATATTGCGTGGTAAAATAGAGAACACCCCGGGGCTATTTTCATCCAGAATATCAATATCAAAAGAAAAATGAGCGTATCTCTAGGCTCCGTTCAGTTGACTTTACCATTCCTATAATTATTGTAAATTTTACAAATCAATGTCATCAAGGTGTAAAACATGCATTAATTGTGATTAATTCAATTTCAAAAATAGAATTAATCTCTCTCCAAAAAAACATCCTACGAAAGGCCAACGAAGAATATGCATCCTTAGAAGCGGTATTGCCCTACAGTAACTGTCTGTGTACTATAATAGATATAAAAGTGGATTTTTATACAACAGACGGCCACCCTGTGTGATACATCTACACACTCGATATTCCACTATCTTTTGCAGGACACAACACCACCATACTATAATTCCATAAAAAGCAATAATGCCCTACAAGCATTCCTCGTCGTTAATTTATCATCCCTACAGGTTGTTTACAGGAAATCGATTTCTCTGGGTCTTCTCCATTCATACTATTAGGATCCATAGAACAAAGACCTTAGTCCTCTAACTCCAAATGTTCCCATACGTCACATGCATAAACAACAGAATTCTTATAAAAATATACCATACATAGACCGTAAACAGGTTTTTTTTAAAGAATAAAAATGAAGTGTGATAGTACAGTATATTTCATTGCTATTCATCTATTCATTTTAAAGAATACATTTCATCTTTGGACAAATCACATGTAAGTCAATATAATAATTGATATAATCAAATCATCAGACATTCAATGACAACCAGATTCACAATCCGCCGTCTAAAATTGGGACCTTTCTACAATGTATAAAATTGTCATGAGACAACTAATGTTCACATAGCTTTCTTGCATCAGGAGAAGGTTCAAAATAATACTACAAAACCAGTTAAGAGAAACCTGTGCGATTCAGAGTGACATTTGTTATCGTATGTTTCTCACGAGACAAGCTAACCTCCCGAGAGTCGAAGCTTGCAGCCATAAGAGCCAGAAGTATTATCTGAACTCTGTGTTTTCACTCACTACGTCTTTAGACTGAGGTATTCAGCGAGTTAAATCTTTGGTAAAATTAGTCTAGAGCCACAAAAACCCTGAGTCTGGGCATGCGCTCTTGACGTCACAAACAAGTTACGTCATTGTTCCCTATTTCAGGTTCTCCTCAGTGGCTCATTGGTTGCTGCTGTTGCATACACGATGACTGTGTTTTTGGTGGCGGATCGTCTCTTTTTGTCACTTTCTTAGCCTTTATCCTTCTGTTCTGAAACCAGATTTTGATCTGGCGTTCTGAGAGGTTTATTAACTGTGAAAGTTCCCAGCGACGAGACTTAGATATGTATGTTGAGTTATTGTATTCTCGCTCAAGTTCAGCGATCTGGAATTTGGAGTAGGGGCGCCTTCTCTTCCTGAGTGTCACTGCGGTGGGGGCTAGTGTCGTTGATGGTAAATGAATTTGTTGCATATCTGAAAATAGAACACAAGCCTCAGTAAATACGGAATGCTGGCCCAAATATCGCACATGCCGCACCTTCTGCGATGTGCTTGATTAAACGTGTGGATACTTATTACCACAGATATAACCAAGAAATAAATGCATCTTCATGAAATTTCTTACAACTTAAATCATAATACATGTATAAAGGAATTTTGGACGTCAATTTTTAGTGCGTCAGAATAAACAGAGTGAATTCATACCTTTCCCAAGGGTAAATTAAATACTTCATGTGATTTATTGATTTTACATTTAAGAATAAACCGCATTGATACCACTTTTATTTGATTAATTGGATAAAGAAATCTATATTATAATAATTTATTGATTGTTTGTTGTTTTACGTCCCATTCGAGAATATTTCACTCATATAGAGACGTCACCATATACCGGTGAAGTGCTTCAAATTTTGACCTTTACTCGGCACTTAGGGCCATTGAGCAGTGAGGGATCTTTATCGTGCCAACGCCTGCCGTGACACGGGGCCTCGGTTTTTAAGGTCTCATCCGAAGGACCCGCAACTTTCACTTCAAAGTGCCGAGCGCATGGCGAAGGAACCGTTGCTACCCATTTTTTTATCGACTTAGGTCAGCCGCGGCCGAGATTCGAACTCACGACCTCCCGATCACGAAGCGAGCGCTCTACCGACTGAGCTACCGTGAAAGGTTATAAAAATTTAAGGGAAAATGTTAAAAAGATGTTTGTCAAACGCGTGGATTGATGCATTTGTGGAGCGCCGTTGTAAAAAAAAAAAAAAAAAAAAAAAAAAAAAAAAAAAAAGACGAAAAAAAAACAAACACTGCAATTTTATGTACTGACTAGTATACAAGCACTAGTTACAATTTTTAATCACACCTGCTTTTAATTTAATATGTTCTTAATCAGGAATTTTTTCAAAGTTTAACGAAAAGGGTCATCACGATAAAAGGGGAAACAAAGAAAAGTATAACAAAAATGGGTCTGTGGAATACAAAGTATAATATTTTGTAATTTGATATTTGTAAAATACTGAATCTTCTGTAATAAGTGTTTAGTTCGACGTGGCTACTCCTGATAACCTGAGCTGGGACGTATCATACAAACAGAAAAATCCTCGTCTGATGAGGTGAACTTTTGATGTCCGTTATCATATGAAGAGGAACATGCCACCTCATGATTTTGTGTGTAGAAATACTATGCATTAGAAAATCTTTCTTCTACAAATAAGCATATTTTTCTTTCCAAAATTGCAATTAGAATTTCTTTAAATAAGATGATATTTCATTCATCAGAACAATTTATTCAAATTTCTCTCACATAAGAACAAAGTGTTCTGCTATATCAGAAGAAAGTGGTGGCTCAGTTTTTCGTAGTGGTGGGTCGGTGTTTTATGGCCATTTTATGACCGTTTTATTCGCCCTTTGCTGAATAAGAGCATTTAAACTTAGCAGAGATGTAAGGGTGTTGAAACAGGTATAAAAACCAACTTTGTTTAAAAAGAAAACAACTGGTACCATAAACTTCTGTTTCTTTCGATTTAACACAACTTGGAACTTATTGAAACCAGCGACATCACGGGAGAATTCCACGGTGACGAGAATTCACGAGATTTTTACGATCGCCATATTATGGAAAATGTCTGCACATCAAAGACAAACGATCTTCGTGCAATCTCTATAAACCCTTTTTACAGGCAAATGAAATTTTGTGTAAACAATATAAAACCAGTTTAATAGAAAAACGATTGAAATCACTTCTTGATCTGACTTTCGATTTACAGATATTTGACATCTTATCCTAACCCCTGATGCATAAAATCTCCAGAATCTGATTTAAGAATCCCCAAATCTTTATGTTGCAACAAAGACAAGAATATTTTGGCTCAATCGAACGCAGTCAAAGAAATTTTTGAGCAACATTCACAGAATAAAACTTTACATCTTAAAAAAATTGCAAGCTTCTCTTACATTTAACCAAGAATAATAAAATATCAGGATATATCAGATTCATTAGAGGCTTATAGCATGTCGATATTAATTGTACATCAATAACACATCAATGTTAATTTTAATGCATATCACCTCCAGTGCCTCGGCGAGAATGATTGTCTGGGTATATAGAAACCGATATGTCTAATAAAATGAAAGTTTAATTTCAGTTCTTTATCGGTCGGTCATAAAATGTAAGTATAGTATTAATCCTAACGTTTAAGGTATTATGTTCACAATAAAGAAAACAAATTAAAGCCACAACTGCCAGCAATCACAGGTGGTCATTCCCTCAATCTCGTCTGCTAAATCATCTCGGCCATTCAGCACCCAATGCTTTATTGCCATTTCATTGGACGATTTTCTGATTTTAGGAAACCTAGAATTACTTGGGCGTCGAAGGCGTTGATAACAGAATAGAAACAGTAACCAAATCAGGAAACCTTACAACATTTATTGCTTAATTAGATTCCTCTATCTCGCGTTTTTTTTATTACTAATTGAATCGAACTGATAAAACAAGGTGTTCCTTCATATCTTTCAAAAGTATATCCTGTACAACGTTCCATTCGAACGTTCGCAATCCGTCCAAAGTTTAAAAAAAATCCACTATGATCATGCAATCCGGCAACGATCTTCAGTACAATATTACACGTAAATATACATTAGCACCCAAGTGACAGGAAAATGGAGAACTGCGCTAGGTCAAAGGTGACACAATTGTTAAATGCAGTTCCGTTTACGCATTTATTTCTCGACTTAATGATTTTTGAAACTTTAATCTAATGTTTTTCTAACAAAAGGATTTGGATGTGATATAAATCGAGACTCGCTGCATATTATAGACAGCTGATACAGAACTGAGCCGTCTGCTATAACAATAGTGGGAGAGGAATCTGCGCTATGATGGGGACAAACACTAGGGTACCAATATCATTGATTCTCGGAGTAACGGAAAGCAGGGGGAAAATAGAATTCGAGATGACGACAATTTGTCAGATTTTTAAGGTGTTTTGATTGACCCTTTTTACGACAATCGTTGATACTCTTAATTAATTGCAGAACATTAATTCTCTGATAGATATTTTACTTGGTCATCATAAGTCCATAGAATAAATATATATTTTTACGTAAAATGGCAGAATTCGATATCTGATATAATTAACACGTTTTAGAACCTTTGTATAAATTAACTTATATTTTCTAGGTATAGTATTCAATTTTGTGAAGCATTCATGTCTCCAGTGTGCGGGTATGTTCTCGTCCGCTCCGTAGCTATTTTATAAAATGTAAATTACTTATTTTTTAACGCCATTGATTTTCTCTTAGATCGAATATTTAAACCATTTATGTGTAAACAGAATTACCCTGTAACTCCCACAATCCTGCACCTGCCTTCTTCATTAATGTTTTAATTGAATTTTCAAAAATCATTTTAAAAATTTTGCGAAATTTGACTCTTCCACTGCAGAGATAATTTAACATTGACAAGATGTTAAAAGAATCCAAAGATACATCAAAGACTAACAAATCTTTATCACCGACTTGTTAACGACCATAGTTCAGGATAAGATTTAAGGCCATTTTCCCCCCAATTTTTGCTGACTGTCCAAATGTTGTCACCACTTTCTATTGTCAACAGGGCGACAGAAGGTCTTTTTGTATTTATTTATTTGTTTAACATTAAAGTAAAAAAAAAAATCTTATAAAAATGTCAAAAAGAGTCATCTATTTTATGACCTGTAATCAATAACGTTATTACAGCACACAATGGGATGTCGTAAAATTTGGGATGTTGGTCCCTTAAGAAAGGGAAAGTTATGCTTTGACCAGAAGATAATGGGTAAGGATTATTTGTAGAAGATGATTTTTTTTTAACTGATGCTTATGTGATACATGTAAAAAGAAAGTCAAATGATTGTTTTTCAATGAAGTGTATAATACCTTTTGTTGAATTATTTATTCTACCCTAGTTCAGCTTCCAGACTAAAATTAATTTATTTTCACTACTTGCCAAAACAAAATAAACTTTGAAATATGATCTTATACTTACAATTTTTCCATGAAATTGGCTGTTCTTCTGAAAGATATAAAGGTTTCACACTTTAAAATTTGCTTAGATTTTTGTTTAATATTAACAATATTTTAAATGTATGTTTTATAGGAATCATTTTTCTTATGCAAAATATGAAGAATATTTGATAAAATGAACAAAGCATCAGCAAAATATGTTCAATAATTCTAAGTCATCTGGAAAAGCGGTAACAAGCTTTAAGGTATCAAATGTTTATAAAAATTCGTGAGTTTTTTGGTTTAAAATACAGAAGACAAATAATGAATAATTTGTCATTATTTATTAAAAATTATATCCTTTTTAGTTATTTTTTTCTGTTATAATAACTAGTCGAGGAAACATTTTTTTTCTGTCATAAAATGCCTTTTTGTATTTTTCCCCTCTTTTTTAATGTTCTTAATGTTCTGCCAAATATAGAACAAATTATTCAGTTTCTAAATGGATTAAAATTGCTTGAAAGTACGGTGCCTTGCACGAAACCCCTAAAATTGAGTGAATTTCGTATTTAGTTCAAACTTTTTATAAGCTTTTGCTGCAATCTTAATGCGAGGTAATGTTGTTGCTTCAGTATACATGCAAAGAAAGGCGCATGGAACAAAGATAATTAATAACATCATGTGCTTTTATTGGCTTGTTATGATTTTGAATCATAACGGGGTATTTACATCATCAAAAATCCTTATTTCTTTACGCGAAACATCTTTTGCATTTTCATTTTAACACTTAATTACCTCGTAGGCTTAAGAGAATGGCATTATGAAGTAGTTTTACAATGTATTATATAAATATTAAAATAAATTTATGGTATAGCTATGGAGAATTCACCATTAACATAAACTTAACTTTTCAAAGTTGAAGATTTTTTTTAAAGATGACCATTCTGGTTATTTTTTAAATGTATTTTTTTCAAAATCTAAATTCATCAAAATAT